TTTTAGTTGAGACGGGGTTTCACCATGTTGGCCAGGGTGGTCTCAAACTCCTGACCTCAAGTGATCCACCCACCTTGACCTCCCAAAGTGCTGGGATTACAGGTGTGAGCCACCATGCCCGGCCTGTACAAAATTTTTTTTAAAAAATTAGCTGAGCGTGGTGGTGTGTGCTTGTAGTCCTGGCTACTTGAGAGGCTGAGGCAGGAGGATCACTTGAGCCTAGGAATTGGAGGTTACAGTGAGTTATGACTGCACCACTGCTCTTCAGCCTGGGCCACAGAATGAAACCCTGTCTCTTAAAAGTAAAAAAGCAAAACATTTATAAATAAAAGAAAGAGCTCTGTAGTCTTATACTCCAAGAATAAACGTTTTAACTGATGTTTATCCATCCAGACTTCTTTCATGAAAGCTATATTAGTTTTCAGGGTAAAAAGTATGAATACTCTTTTTACTGTTTCTGTAATTTCTGTTTTCTAATTTAGTAATACAGACGTACTGCTTTCAATTTCAGTTAGTACACATTGGCCTTAGTGGATGTAACACAGTTTAATTAACAAACTTTTGTTGGTGAACATTTAAATTATTTCCAGCATTTTTCTAATATAGTATTCCATTGGTTATGCTTGTATATATTTCTGCGTGTTTGTGTGATAATCAGGACAAATTTCTAAAAGTAGAATTCCTGGGTCAAAGGTCATATGTATTTTCAATTTTGGTATATATATTGCAAAAATTACCCTCCAAAAGGATTGTACCAATATGCATTCATACAAACAGTGGTTTGAGAAAACCAATTTTTATCACATTCTCAACAACACTGGATGTTATCAATCTTTCAAATTTTTGCAGGTCTGAGAATCAATGGCCTTGCAAAGCTATGTCTTGGGCAAGTTTTTTGAGTCAATGTTTATACTGTTCATTAGGACTTACTGACTTCTTTGCTAATAACTGTAGAATAGGATTCCTCTTGATCCTTAATGGGATGATCAATATCGAAAAACTGTTTTATTCAAAGAACTCAGCCCTAATGTTAAATGTTAAGTATTGTCAAACTATTGTCCACAATCAGATTTTTTGACTCCCTATGAGATCAGGGAAAAAAAGATACAAGTAAAGTCCTTTTCTAACTTTCTGATATAAATTTCTTATATCTAGGGTACTTCAAACTCCAGTGCAAACTTTACTTTTCCTGGTTATCCCATTCATGTACCAGCAGGTGTGACACTACAGACTGTATCTGGTGAGAGTATATTCTAAAAATATTTTTGTTTTTAGCATTGGTACTATTTTTTGGACGTTAAGCTTCATGATTTTTTAATAGATTATATACCAGAAGTTATAAGAACTTTTAATAAAATAGATTTTAGAAGTAATGATAAATAGTGGTTTTTATTGTTATGGAGACAGTCTACCATAAAAGACATTGTACTAGGCCTGTCCTGTATTTCCTTCCCTGTTCTCTTTCCCAACATTGTATAGGGGTTCTTTGTATGTATTTTTTCTAATTCAAGTCAGTTATCTAAATTTTAACAAATACAAAATAAAATAATTTACCTGCATTCCTGCTAGCTCTAATTACGGACTAAAGATTAGGTTGATCCACCTTTGTCCGCTTTCTTAGTAGAGATTGCATGGTCTGATAGAACAAACAACAGTTTTGAGGTTAACCAGTCTCTGCTTTTCAGAGCACCATCTCTTGATTTTGATGAGGATCATACCTCTTCTTTGGGTTGTTGTAAAGTTTAAGTAAAGCACCTAACTCAGTGCTCAAAAATAAATTCTTTATTTTTTTTCTTTTTTTTTGAGACGGAGTCTCGCTCTGTCGCCCAGGCTGGAGTGCAGTGGCTTGATCTCGGCTCACTGCAAGCTCCGCCTCCTGGGTTCACGCCATTCTCCTGCCTCAGCCTCCTGAGTAGCTGGGACTACAGGTGCCCGCCACCACGCCCGTCTAATTTTTTGTATTTTTAGTACAGACGGGGTTTCGCCATGTTAGCCAGGAGGTTCTCGATCTCCAGACCTTGTGATCCAGCCGCCTAGGCCTCCCAAAGTGCTGTGATTACAGGCATGAGCCACCGCGCCCAGCCTTTTTTTTTCTTTTATAGTGTTATTTTAAAGGAAGAAAGGGAAGAAATTTGATTACTTTTGAAATCATTAAACTCTCTTTTGGATAGCATTTTCTTGTTATATGGCATTTTAAATATATGAAGTTATATTTTACATGATTATGTTTGTTAAAATCCAGTTTTTGGTTGATAACATTAATTTATCGAACAATGGAAGAGGTTCATGGATTAAATATTGGTGGCCTTTTTGTATCTCAGAGTGTGACATATAAACAATTGTGGGAGAAGTCTGGAATCAAAGCTAAACATACATAATTAAAAAATAAGAATTTATATATTGATTGTAGAAAATCCCAAAATGTCTGAAGAATAAAAGAAAAACCCCTAGAGATAACCACCATTAACATATCAGTATATTTTTTTCCAGCCTGTTGTGGATGAGATTTTTTTTGTGATTGTTGTCAAAGGAAATTTTAATTCTATTATACTTACAAGATTGTTTCTTCCTTTTTAAGGTCACCTTTATAAAGTCAATGTACCAATTATGGTGACACAGACTTCTGGAAGAGCAGGTATTCTTCAGCATCCAATTCAGCAAGTATTTCAACAGCTTGGCCAGCCTTCAGTAATACAAACTAGTGTTCCACAATTAAATCCATGCTCTCTTCAAGCAACTACTGAAAAATCACAGAGAATTGAAACTGTGCTACAGCAACCCACAGTTCTACCTTCTGGGCCAGTAGATAGGAAACACTTAGAAAATGCCACCAGTGATATACTTGTATCTCCTGGAAATGAGCATAAAATCGTGCCTGAAGCTTTGTTACGTCATCAGGAAAGTTCTCAGTATGTCAATCTTCCAGGTGTTGTATTTTCTCCACAGGTCTCTCAAACAAATCCTAATGTGGAGTCAGTGCTCAGTGGTTCAGCTAGCATGACTCAAAATCTGCATGATGAGTCCCTCTCCACAAGCCCTCATGGGGCTCTCCACCAGCACGTGACTGATATTCAGCTTCATATTCTTAAACATGGGATGTATGGATGTGAATCTGTAAAGCAACCAAGAAATACAGAGGAACCCAGCAACATACCTGTATCAGAGAAGGTATAGTTCTGTGTCCAACTTCTTGGTATCGGGACAGACAGTGGCCAGTGATTGGATATCCTGAGTATTTTCAAGCTATAATGTTAATCAGAATTATATATATATTGTTTTGTTTTTTCCTTTAGAAGATTATTTCTTTTTTCTATTGATTAAAAAAATTTTTAATTGTGATAAAATACACGTAACATAAAATTTACCAACTTAACTATTTCTAAATGTACAGATCAGTAGTGTTATATACATCCACATGTGGTACAACCAAGAAGATTGTATCTTTATTGTTGTTTTTAATATAACCATCAGTTCTTAAAATATTCATGCTTAGCATTTCTAAAGTTTTCATTTCAATAGATGAATTAGAATACTTCTTTAGAGAAAATGCATTTATTTTAAAAGGTAATCTATTTACCAGTCTCTTACATTGGGAAACTTGTTTTTTGTCTGCAGATAAAAATTAAAAGACCCAGAAATCCATACCAGTAGTTTATGGAATGTTTTGAGATAATTAATTATCAAATGTAATATACAAAAGAAGCCCACAAAGTATTTTTTTTCCTGCTCTACCTAATTTTTCTGAATTCTTATATGGAAACTTTTCCCTACATGAGGGATTATGTTGCTAGTAATTTTGTTTCTCCCTGCCTACTAAAGTACTAGTTTTACTTAATTTCTTTTGGTATTGAAACTACAAAAAATTAGCTTATAGTTAACTTTTGATACCAAAAATAGGTCTGAATTATTAATTTTCAAGGAATTAATAGTAATGGCAGAAAGATTCTTGGATAATTTTGGATTATAAAAATTAAAAAAATTACATTCTTTTTACAAAGATGAAATACATCTTGTGGCTAATTCTAGTTATACAATTTAGGACATGTGAAAAATACTTAAAGGTTTTTGCTCCAGCTAATGGTTTAGCCATCATCCAGAGCCACTGTACAAGTCTGTAGCAATGGACAGTTAAGCACCACCTTAATATTTTATCTTCAAGATATTTAAATTTTGCTACTTAGGAAAAGATATAGGGCATAGTGAAAGCCCATAAACAAAGAAAATGATGATCAGAAACTATTTGACCTGTTTTATAATGTTTCAGATATTTAATGAAACCTGTTCAAGATCTCTGAGCAAATCTGTTGTTAGTTTTGCTGTAAGTGTTCATATTAAAATGTTTTATTGACTTTTTAAATTTTTTTTCTGTAATATATAACATTTAGTAAATAAATGTAGGCTAAACTAATAATTATGAAACATTTGGTTTTGAGGTAAAACTAACGACAAATGTAAAATGTTTGTTTTCATCACTACTACTTTTGGAGGCACTTTTTGCCTGGATTCTGTGTGAACTTTGCAGATGTTTGGTGTGATGAGTCAAGGACTTATTCTACTGTTATGTGTTGTATGTCATCATGCCCTTTTTCTGATATGGGGAAATAGATTAGTTAAGGGATATTAATCAAGGATTGATTAGGGGTAGTGGTTGAGAACATAAGCTTTGAAACCACAGTAGGTTCAAATTCTAGGTTCACTACTTGCAAGCAAACTGTGTAACATTACTCACTGAAATTCAGTTTTAGTCTTTAAATTGGCCCTAATACCAACCTTGTAATTTTGAAAATTATCAGAGATAATATATATTGAGTATTTAAAGCTTCTGGCACCATAGTAAGCTTTAGATTAGTGCTATTATGCTCTATGAGCTTGTAATATATTGGGTAACTTTTCATGTAACTTGTTAGTTTTAAAAAAGGTCTATATCTAAAACACAAAAATATAAACATATGAGAGTATATATAAAATGCTGATTGATTTATTGTAAGTTACCTTTGAGACAGTAAGCAGTTTGGTAAGTTTATGCTGAACTACTTTTCAAAGACTTTACAAGTAGTTTTTCATTTTATAAGTAGCTTAAAGCAAGTTATAATCAACTCTACTCATTTACTTTTCCTATGTTGTAAACTACTGGAGAGCTTTTGGATCTATAGGTTTAAGAAGTAAGGATCTATGTGGGTTTAACCTTCTGTTTCACAAAGTATATTCTTGATAACTTTTGATTCTGCCCCTTGTAACTTCTGTTCTATTTTCTTTGTCTGAATTTGACTCTTCTGGGTACTTTAAAGATGGAATCATACAATGTTTGCCCTTTCGTGACTATCTTATTTCACTTAGCATAATGTTTTCAAGGTTAGTCCATATTGTAACATGTGTCAGAATTTCATTCCTTTTTAAGGCTGAATTATGTGAGTTTGATAATTTTTAAATTTTGTAAATATTCCTGGAATCCGTTTCTTCTTCTCCACTCCTAGTGCCATTGCCCTAATTGTTTCTCATGTGGGATAATTTTATCTGACTAATTTATCAGTGTGTAGTCTCTTCTACCTCTTACTCTGCTCCTGCCAATCCATCCGTCCTAGAGGTCAAAGGCCTAGGCTTCAGGGATCAGAATTGTTTTGAATCCCTTCTCTATTCCTTAATAATTATATGACTTAGAGAAGTTACTCATTTGTAAAATAAAGATAATAGTGTCTACCATATAATTGTGGTAGGATTAGTTAAGTCAATCAATGAAAAGTGCTCAGCAGCACACTGGCACCGTGGTAAATGCTCAGTGCATGTTAGCACTCTTTTCCTGGTGGCTTCCAGAGATCTGTCCCAAATGCAGCCTGATTGTGTCTTTCTCCACTTAACACATCACTGACTGCCCTTCACCTATAATAAATAAACTTCAGGCACCTTAACATACATACACAAAGCGTATTACACGTTCTTTCTCTGCCAAAGTTTCCTATTTATTCTTCCTTCCTCACATGAATATTCTTGACTGGGAACTGGTAACCGTGAGTGATTCTTGGTTTTTAACCTTGTTGTTTCCTACTTTTCTTTTTGCTTTTGTCATCCCCCCTATTTGATGCCTAGAGTTTCTTCCCACCATCCTTTCCTCTGGTTAATTCCTGCTTATTCATTACTTCCTTCAGAAATCTTCAGTACTTCTCCACCTAATTTTTCCTTCATTATTAAATTGAATGTAGCTCTTCTGTTTTGTCGCCTGAAGCATGTCTGTCATAATGTAGTTCAAAGATATATTGATATGTTTTCTTTGCATTGACAGGTACATTTATCTTTGTATATGCAGTAATCTAAGAATATATACACACTCGTGTGTACTAGAGTGTAAGCTTTTAAGGATGGGATCTAGAATTAGTTTATTTGGCTCAGTAGTTCTCAATCCTGGCTGAATGATAAAATCACTGGGCCATTAAAAGAAAGTGCACGTCTACCCCAAGAGATTTAAATCTAATTGATCTGGAATGGGGTTCAGTCATCAATATTTAAGAGCTTCTGAAGTGATTGTAATATATAGTCAAGGCTAAGAACCACTGATGTAGCTCAAAATCAATGTATGAGTGAAAAATGGAGTGAGAGGATAAGAGAATATATAACTCCTAAGTGAGAGTTTTCATTTTTCTTCTAAGTCCGCACGTATTCCTCTAAAAGATAAAATGTCCTATCAATAATTATTTGACTTTATAATTCATTTAAATTGAGTAAATACTTTTTGAGTCTCTGTATGCCATTATGAAATTAATATATCAAAGTCAGAGATATTTAAACCAGATATGTGACTTTTTCTTCATTATAAGAAGAAAGCCAATTTAACAAAATAATTTTTTATATCTGTCAAAATATATTAAGATATATTTCATTCCAAATAAGAGTGAAGTAGCATGGGATGCTACTGTACATGGTCAGGTAATATATAATTATCATTGTTACTATATTGTAATAGATTAAATTCCTGTTAAGAATAAAAGAAAATATGCGCTGCCATTACAATTATAGGCCACTGAATGTGACATAATTTAGGCTGAAAATGTGAAAAGAATGTGTATTGTAGCTTAGGCTTATCTTGTTTTATATTTATCCCCACATATGGGTATAAAGTTCTGCAAATTTTTACTAGCCATTGGAAAAATATGGTTCTTTCATTGGAGGGAAGCTTAAATGGCAAAGACTGGAAGCTGGATTTGGCAAACAAAGCTTTATCATGAAGCATCCTATTTACTTGCTTATTATACTACCCAGTCATGGAAGCCACATACAATCAAAGACACCATGGTTAAGCTGAGAATATTGGACATTATTGAGCTGGTTTGTTTTAGAGCAGAGAAAAAAAAGGGAAGCATTTCCTCTGTCAGATGACATCATCTGCATTAGAATTGTTGACATTTCTTTCAGGTTTGGCTGGAATTCATAGAAGTATCAGCAGCGACTTTCCTTTAACATTCAACAGGCTAAAAATACCAATGTTTCTTAGGGCTGCCAATATCTGATTTTAATCATTATTTGTACATTGATACCATCAAATAATTTTTATGTTGTGAGCTCTTTTTTTTTAAATTGGAAACTGACATCTTTCTAATAATGAAAAGTTTGGCTAGTAAAATTTGGTACTCTGAACCATTGGAGCTCCCGAGATGCTTGGCAAACATGGTTTTGCTGCTTTAGTAAAGAAAACATTGCTGTCTATTTCAGCACATGGCATGCATTAGTGCTAAGACACGCCAATAATTCTAAAAGAAGTCTCATCTGCTGACATAAAACTCAAATATATTAGAGCCATGGTTTTGAATTATTGTGTTTCCCAAGACATTTATCAAACAATGTAGGCAGAATATTAAATTCTTCATGCAGAATTTTTCTGGCTGTTGAAAGGACAATGCTTGAAAGGACCCTTGCTTGATCCTTGGGGAGACATTTACTATTTTTGAGAGGGAGCAAAAGCCCCCTCATAACAATTTGACCTAGAGGAGGAGTTCATTGATGATCTATGTGGTGGATGTTTGGCTATATGAAAGACTTAAATCTTTTCATGGTCCTGCGGTATCAATTATGGATGTTGCTGCACAACTCCTGGCTATTTTGGTCAAATTACCACTTCAGAAGAGATTGGAGTCAGATAATCGTGAATTTTTCAATACCTGGTGGAAGTGCTTCTGAAG